GTTGCCTTCACATTGTTTAATGGCTTGAGAGCTCATTTCTTCTTAGTGCTGAATGATGACTAACCTGCTATAAACACCCGTGTGCAGGTTTCATACCAAGGAGCGTGATTGCTGAATCATACGGTAAGAGCGTGTTTAGCTTTGTAAAGACACTCCCAGGCCGTCTTCCAAAGTGGCTGCACCGTTTTGCCTTCCCACCAGCAATGAATGAGAATTTCTGTTGCTCCACAACCTCGCCTGCGTTTGGTGATGTCAGTGTCTGGATTTTGGCCCTTCTAAGAGGTGTGTCATGGCATCTCCTTGTTTTAATTTGCATTTCCCTGGTGACGTGTGATGTGGAGCGTGTCTTCATAGACTTGTTTGACATCTGTTTATCTTCTTTGGTGAGGTGTCTGTTAAGGTCTTTGGCCCATTGTTTCATTGGGTTTTCCATTTCCTTATTGTTCCGTTTGAAGAGTTACTTGTCATTTTGGACAACGATCCGTTCTCAGACGTGTATTATTTGCAGGTATTTACTTCCAACGTGTGGCTTATCATCTTCTCTTCTTGACGGTGTCTTGCACAGAGCCAATTCATTAATTTTAATTAAGTTCAGTTCATCAATTATTTCTTTCATGGATCGCGCCTTTAATGTTGTATCTAAAATCTTCACCCAACACCAAGTCATCTAGATTTTTCTCCTTGGAGTCTTAGAGTTTTGCATTTTACATTTTGGTCGATGATCCACTTTGAGTTAATTTTTGTGAAGGGTGTAAGGTCTGTGTCTAGATTCTTTTTTTTAATATTTTTTATTGGTTTTTGAGAGAGAGAAGAAGGGAGAGGGATAGAGAGATAGAACATCGATGACAGAGAGACATCGATCGGCTGCCTCCTACACGCCCCCCAGTGGGGATTGAGCCCACAACCGGGGCATGTGCCCTGACCGGGAATCAAACCTATGACCTCTCGGTTGATGGGTCGATGCTCAACCACTGAGCCACGCTGGCTGGGCTAGTTTCATTTTTGCATCTATTTGCCCTGTTGTCCCAGCACCATTTATTGAAAAGACTATCTTTGCTCCATTGTATTGTCTTTGCTCCTTTGTCAAGATCAGTTGACTATATGTGTGTGGGTCTATTTCTTCTAAAATCTTCACCCAACACCAAGTCATCTAGATTTTTCTCCTTGGAGTCTTAGAGTTTTGCATTTTACATTTTGGTCGATGATCCACTTTGAGTTAATTTTTGTGAAGGGTGTAAGGTCTGTGTCTAGATTCTTTTTTTTAATATTTTTTATTGGTTTTTGAGAGAGAGAAGAAGGGAGAGGGATAGAGAGATAGAACATCGATGACAGAGAGACATCGATCGGCTGCCTCCTACACGCCCCCCAGTGGGGATTGAGCCCACAACCGGGGCATGTGCCCTGACCGGGAATCAAACCTATGACCTCTCGGTTGATGGGTCGATGCTCAACCACTGAGCCACGCTGGCTGGGCTAGTTTCATTTTTGCATCTACCTGCCCTGTTGTCCCAGCACCATTTATTGAAAAGACTATCTTTGCTCCATTGTATTGTCTTTGCTCCTTTGTCAAGATCAGTTGACTATATGTGTGTGGGTCTATTTCTGGGCTCTGTTATTGTAATGCATTTTTAATTGAGTTTATTTTACCCATAGCATTTTAGCAAGACATTAATTCCCTAGAGCAAAGCATAATTCTAGTACAAAAATATTTAAAGGGCTTCAAGAGGAAAATTCATTGATAATTTAAATAAGTATCAGCATGTTCTGGAAAGCTCTGAAGTCATCACCCAGACACCCACTGAGAATTCTGAATTAATAAAAATCCACACTAGACCCTGCACAGAATTACAGCTCTATTAATTTTCACGAGACTTACAGAAGAATCTCCAAACAGCATCATCTCTCTGATTGTTAAGTCTCCAGAGTATATCTGAGTCAAGCTTGGCAAACTCGTCTGGAGAATGGTTTGGACGATGAGAGGACTGGCCAGGGGTGGCGGGTGATTGAAGACACAGGAAAGGCTCACGAGGCCCATACACCTTCCCAGTGAGATGGTTTGTGCCATCGCCACGGTGATCTTGCGGCTGGCACCACAGTTCTGGCCTCTGGGGCCTACACCTGCATCTGGAAGCTGATTGGTCGTCTCTAAAGAGCTGGGTGAAACCATCCCAACTGAGAGAAAGACTGAAGCCTACGATTGTGAAGTTCAGCCAAGCCATTAGGATGAGAAGAAACCCGTGATCACACTAGGATAGGGATGCCTGCGTGGGCCTGTGAGGATAGCCTACAGCTATATTCCTGAGAAGAACTCATTAAAGCTTCTGGGAATCAATAGAGATTCTATTGTATTGAAGGAAAAGGCTGAATTTCACAGAAGAAGGCTTGAAAATCTCATCCCTTCCGGCCCCTCATTTTTTCCCTTCCTTGTGCTACCCCTAAGCATATTCTTTTTTAATTTTTTAAAAATATATTTTTTATTGATTTCAGAGAGGAAGGGAGAGGGAGAGGGAGAGGGAAATAGAAACATTGATGAGAGAGAGAGAGAATTGCTGCCTCCTGCACGGCCCCTACTGGAGATTGAGCCCACAACCCGGGCATGTGTCTTTGACCAGAATCAACCCCAGGACCCTTCAGTTCGCAGACCAAATGCTCTATCCACTGAGTCAAACCAGCTGGGGCCAAAGCACATTTCTATGTGTGTTTCCTTAAGAGGGTGTGGTCTACACAGGTGATTGGAGCAGAGATCCCAGGATGTGCCCTGATGCGCCAGCCCTAGGGGCTGCCGTTGAAGTCCAGGGTGCCATGCACAGTTAGCACAAGGCACGCCTTTAGGATCAGAGGTGACGTGGAATGGAAGCTAAATGTGGGCCGTGGAGTCAGACCTGGCTTTGAACCACACCCCTAAGGGATGGGGACAAAAGTATGATTAGGATCGCCCAGCAGGCCTGGCTCAGTGGTTAAGAGTCAACCCATGAACCAGGAGGTCGAGGTTCGATTCCCAGTCAGGGCACATGCCTGGGTTGGGGGCTCAATCCCTAGTGTGAGGCATGCAGGAGGCAGCCTAACAATGATTCTTTCTCATCACTGATGTTTCTGTCTCTCCCTCCGTCTCCCTTCCTCTCTCTGACATCAATAAAATAAATAAATAAAAGGTTGACCACATGTGAGTGACTTAGATGTGATTAGCCCATAATGGGACCCATCCCAGCCTTACCATCTGTTATGGGCTGAATCGTGTCCTCCCAACATTCATAGATTGAGTCCTAACCCCAGTACCTCAGAACATGACCTTATTTGGAGATAGGGTCTATCTAGACAGAGGTAATCAAGTTGCAATGAGATCATTGCGGTGGGGCGGGTAGGAGAGGAGGGGGGAGGCCCTAATCCCAGTTGACTGGTGTCCTTATAAAAGGGGACATTTGGCCGTAGCTGGTTTGGCTCAGTGGATAGAGCATCGGCCTGCGGACTGAAGGGTCCCGGGTTCGATTCCAGTCAAGGGCACGTGCCCAGGTTGCAGGCTCCATTCTCAGTAGGGGGGCATGCAGGAGGCAACCGATCTATGATTCTCTCTCATTATTGATGTTTCTATCTCTCTCTCCCTTCCTCTCTGAAATCAATAAAAATATATTTTAAAAATAAAAATAGCCGAAACCGGTTTGGCTCAGTGGATAGAGCGTCATGTCTCTCTCTCATCGATGTTTCTGACTCTCTATCTCTCTCCCTTCCTCTCTGTAAAAAATCAATAAAATATATTAAAAATAAAATAAAATAAAGTAAAATAAAAATAAAAAAGGGGGACATGTGAGCACAGGCGTGCGCAGGGGGAAGACCATGTGAAGAGGCAGCATCCACAAGCCCAGCCGAGAGGCCTGGCCTGAGCTTCCCGCACAGCCCTCGGAGGGAACCAGCCCGGCCCACACCTTGACATTGGACTTTGGGCCTCCAAACTGTGAGACAGTACATTTCTGTTGTTCAGGCCACCAGCCTGCAGTGCTTCATTACAGCTGCCTTCTTCGCAAGCGAATACACTTGCCGACCGCACACTCATAGTGGAGCCCGCTGTCCAGCAGCGGCCCCATTTCTGGGCTGAGGAGCCGGAACCGGAAACGGGGGAATGAGTCGAGCCCAAGAGAGGAGTGTGTTGCCTCTTCGGACAGGAACTGGCCCTCCTTTTCCGGCCCCAGCTTTTCCTTGGATGTGAAGCTGCAGAGCATTATATTCAGCATCCCTCGTCTGTCCGTGCGGATTAGACGTCGTCGCTCTGAGGAGGTGGTAACTGTTCGCAGGGTTTTTAAGCGGATTCCTGCACATTTGAAATGTTGCCGTGTTTAGTGTGTCTTGTGAATGTCAATAAGAAATAACATTTACAAAAACGAGCAGCAGATCCCTTGTTGTGAGTTTCAAGCTGAGCACAGCTGAAGAAGATGCGAAAATCGCACGCGAATATTAATCTGCCATATGTAAGCCTTCTTGGAATTGTTTTTCTCGGAGCTGTCGACACAATTTAGTCGCCCTGTCGCCATCCCCGGGTGTTTATTTCATTACATATATTTAAATATATATATATATATTATTGATTTCATAGAGGAAGGGAGAGGGGAGAGAGAGATGGAAACATCAATGATGAGAGAGAATCATTGATCGGCTGCCTCCTGCACGCCCCCTACTGGGGATGGAGCCCGCACCCCGGGCGTGTGCCCTTGACCAGAATCGAACCTGGGACCCTTCAGTTCCCCAGGCCGACGCTCTATCCACTGAGCCAGACCAGCGCGGGCCATTATATGTTGAATGGACTCTGCTGTGCATTGCACTGTATGGGGAACATCCCCCAATGGATCTTCACCATTTCTTTACTTTGTTCGTTTGCAGGAAACTTTGACTGGGTAGGGAACGACTTCACCCAGAATGCGGGCACGGGCCTCGTCATCAACCAAGCGGACGCGAGGAATAACATGAGCATCATTAAGCAGCTGAAAGATGTGTTTGAGAGGGACTGGTACTCACCCTACGCCAGGAGCTTACAGCCAACCAAACAGCCGAACTGCTCCAGCCCGTCCGATCTCAGCCCTCCCTCCCACAAAACTGCCACGTACAACACGTGTGGGAAGGACCCCGCGAGCGTATAGCATGAACGAACACGCTGACGGACCACTTGTGTTTCATATTTATATCTAAAGGACGGGAGGAGAGAAGAACCATTTGATATGTCTTTTTTTAGGGGAAAAGCACACTTATTAAAAAATAATCTTTGAATGCCATGCCCTATCTAACCACATCTTTAGGGGCTTGTATACTCCCTTTAAGACTTTTGTACTTGTCACTTCTGACGGAGAATGTCATTCCGGCTTGGGAGTTCGTTTTCACGTTTGCATACCAATTTGAAGGCTTTGACGCCTCCTCCTTTCTAGTTTTAGAACATTTCTGCTGGCCCACGTGGTCAGTGCTTAGGAAGCTTCGCATGAGGCAGGCTCTTTGCTATTCTGCAACCACTGGCTTAGAGGAGAGGGAGGGTTTGACCTTGGACAAGAGGTCAAGCCAAGTCTTCATCCTTGTCAACCGTCTCCAAGACCTGTCCAGTCATCTAGGCGTGAACTCCTCATGCCATCCTCCAGTAACTCTTGGAAAATACTTTTCTTGCCTCCGTGTTTATTTTCTTCTAATACCATAGATTTTCTTTTGTGTCATTTTCTCTTCTCATAAAATGTTCTCATGCTCTAGTGTGGCTATACTTACCTCAACACTAGTTCCAAGTAGGATATGTTCTGAAAGTGTATGAATTCCTCAGAATGGATACAAAATGGACATAGCAATTATTTTTTCAAATATATTTTTATTGATTTCAGAGAGGAAGGGAGAGGGAGAGAGAGAAACATCAACGATCGGCTGCCTCTTGCATGCCCCGCACTGGGGATAGAGCCCGCAACCCGGGCATGTGCCCTGACTGGGAATCGAACCGTGACCTCCTGGTTCCTAGGTTGACGCTCAACCACTGAGCCACGCCAGCTGGGCAGAAATAGCAATCTTTAATTTCCACCTTTCAACTGCATTTTTCTCTAGCAAGTTGATATTTTAAAACCATAGCCAGGAATCTGTATCCTTTCTCTCAAGTTCGGAAAAATTATGTAGCCCCCTGCTAATAGCCAGCAAACGATTAAGTCTGTATTATGGAGACTAAGTCATTTTTCACATTTTTGTTTACTCTATGGTATTAGAAAGGAACAATCTCTATGGGCCAGTGGATTTGAATTTCTTTAGAATCGTTATGCTGTTAAGAGTATGCCAGCAAACGTTTATAGAGCTATTTAATATACCTTCTGCTATTTAATACACCTTCTGCTGTTTAATATACCTTCTGCTATTTACTATACCAAATGCTTTTCAGAGAAATGCAATTTAAATACTGTGCTTAACATATTTTACTAAGAAACAAGAATATTGGATTATTGTTCTATACTGTCATTGTGTGTTGTTTTCTATCTATCTATCCGATGCATAACCCTATATTAACAGAGACTGTTGCTATACTCGAGAGAGGCCTGGCCTCCCCACCACCCGGAGCAGGCGGCCTCGGGACGCCCAGTCTTACTGTGGCTCCTGGCTCTCTCCTTGGCCTCGGGTTTCTGTTGGTCATGTAGGGACAGTAACTACTCACCTACCTCGCGAAGATGTTGTTACGGTAGGAAATATTTATAACTTGTTTTGGAATCAAAAGAACCTATATAAATGCTAAGCATTACGATGTAGAATCTGTTTCTTGAAATCATCTTTTGGGATCCTCAGAGAATCCATGCCAGGTTCTCCCAGAGAGTCTGAAAAGGAAACCCAGTCCATAGCTTCCGGTTGCAAATGGGGAGGGACACGGCCACGCGGAATCCCTGCCGGACATGGGGACGGTCATCGTCACTTTGGGTCACTTTGGCATCAGTAACATCAATATAATACCTGACATTGTGCAAAGGATTGTCCGTTAGGACCGGCAGGGACGTGTTTTCAGAGCAAAGGAATGCCATCTTAGTTACTTTTTTCTATTTCTAGAGATTTATTTCTAATGTGCCATAGAGTGATGGGGAAACCCATAAATCTTATCCATTGGTGTAGAGTGGCTATTGTTGGGCATCTAGCAGTTAGATAACTTCCTTTCTTGTTGTTTCCAAATATCGCTTTACTGGATATTTAACAGATAGTGGAGAGAGCCGTTTTTTTTTTTAATATATCTTTATTGATTTCAGAGAGGCAAGGAGAGGAAGAGATAGAAACACCAATGATGAGAGAGAATCATTGATCAGCTGCCTTCGGCACACCTCCTACTGGGTATTGAGCCTACAACCCAGGCATGCACCCTTGACCTAATCGAACCCGGGACCCTTCAGTCCACAGGCCAATGCTCTATCCACTGAGCCAAACCAGCTAGGATGAGAGCTGTATTTTTTGAAGGGTAGCGTGTTTTTATGAATAACTGAGGTATTCTTACTGAAATTCTTCATCAAAAATGACCAGCCCATAAGACTCTACACATTTACCAATACCAACCCTTGTTTGAGTGGAGTCACCCAGCCAGGCACCCAGTAAAGTAGAGGTGGTTTTGGTGATGGGTTTTTTTTTATTTGTTTGTTTTTTAAGAAAGGAAGCAAAGAGGAGGCATGGAGACAAACATACCACACTCCATCCCGGACAAAGCAAGCCCCCTGGGCTGATTATGAAAAGTACATAGGAAGGGAGGAGAGGTGACTGCGTCCTTGTTAGTTCTCAAGTTGTCTCTTGAGTATCTGTCACAGCCATGGGACAAGCATCGGCTTGAGGTAAGGGGCCCCCTTCACTGTCACTATCTTTGGTTTTTTGTTTTGTTTTAAATATATTTTTATTGATTTCAGAGAGGAAGGGAGAGGGTGAGAGAGATAGAAACATCAATGATGAGAGAGAATCATTGATCAGCTACCTCCTGCTCGCCTGGTACTGGGCCCGCAACCCACGCATGTGCCCTGACCAGGAATCGAACCGTGACCTCCCGGTCCATAGGTCAGTGTTCAACCACTGAGCCACACCAGCCGGACTGTCACTATCTTTGCATAGGATACAAGAAGGGAATTATGTCCTTTATGAATTGACCATCATTGCCATTTCCCTCTGGGCCCCAACAGAAAGGGAGCCCCAGGAACGGTGCCTCGGGATTTTCTGCCACACACCAGCAGTATCAGAGTCCTCCTTGGCCCAGCAGCCCCCCCGACTCCCATTCAAGATGGTCCAGGCAGCAGCGACCAGGCCACTGGCTCCAGGAGGCCACGCTGGCCTGTGGCAGCCAGGAAAACAGAGCCTGTGCAGTGTCCCTAAGAGGACAGTTGATTCTGCAGAACTTTCTTTTTCATTTGGACGCTTTGTCTACCCCTCGAGACGTGGTCTTCCTCATTTATTTACTTTTTTAAAATTTTTATTGATTTCCGAGAGGAAGGGAGAGGGAGAGAAAGATACAAACATCAATGGTGAGAGAGAACCATTGATCAGCTGCCTCCTGCACGCCCCCTACTGGGGATCGAGCCCACAACCCAGGCACCTACCCTTGACCCGAATCGAACCTGGGACCTTTCAGTCCGCAGGCTGATGCTCTATCCACTGAACCAAACTGGCTAGGGCTTCCTCTCATTCAGACTGTGTCTGTACTTAATAGACTACCGACTTCCATTTCCCCCACAAACATCCCAGGAGCTAGCGACCAGCGGGTGGGGGAAGGAAAGCAAACACAATCTGAGAGCATATTTTAGATTTCTGTGCCACCTCCGTTAACCTAGTGCCTTATTTACCCTCGAGCGTGGATTGGAAACAGTGACTCGCTGCCTGAGAACGCTTCTGCTCACTGTGGACCTAATGATGGGCCTTCAAATGAAAACCTGCCTGTGAATGTCAGCAGAGTTCATGCAGCCTGCTCTCCTTCCAAGCCAGACAGTCAGGTCACCCCCAAATCCAATCATTGCTACACATTCAGATCCCTGTACTGTTGGTTGGTCCCCACTGCACTGCCACAGGCCACTCGCATATCAAATAATCACATCACCGCTTGTCAAACCACTGGAGAGGACATGGAACATTCTGGATGATATCCAGGCTCTGAAAACAGCGCATGTTGAGTACCGGAAAATGATAGAAGCGAGGCACACCGAAAATGTCCCCCCATCTTGAAAGGACCTTCTAGAGAGATGTTTCAGGGGCTTCCGAAGTCTCATGGGACATGGAATGAAAACTAGTGTCTTTAAAAAGTCAAAGCAGGCCCTAGCCAGTTTGGCTCAGTGGATAGAGCGTCGGCCTGCGGACTGAAGGGTCCCGGGTTCGACTCCAGTCAAGGGCACATGCCTGGGTTGCAGGCTCGATTCCCAGTGTGGGGTGTGTAGGAGGCAGCCGATCAGTGATTCTCATCGTTGATGTTTCTATGTCTGTCTCCCTCTCTCTTCTCTGACAATAATAAAAAATATATATAAAGAATAAAAATAAAAAGTCAAAGCAGACTCAGTGAAGGAAATGACAGGGCTGTGGACACACTTTGCCTCCAGGTAGCTCTGGGCCCCGCCTTCCCCATAGGGGCTGCCCTCATGTTTGTCTGACTCCTGACTTGGTTCTTAGTGCGATCCCATCTTTGTGGTCTGATCACACTTGGGGTTGATCTCACCCCCTGGAAAATGTGTTCTGTGACTGCAGTTACACGTGCCTCGCAGCACCTGGGGCGGACAGAGGCTCACGTCCCGCCAGGCTGGGGCTATTCTCAAGTGACTTCAATTCGTTCTGTTTTCTCTTTGTTTTTAAGAACTTTTATGGAACTAAATTCTAAGGAAAAAAATTAAAAGACTATAAGAATACTCTTTTTATAATATATATTTTTACCGATTTAAGAGAGGAAAGGAGAGGGAGAGAGAGAAAGATAGAAACATCAATGATGAGAGAGAATCATTGATCATGGATCGGCTGCCTCTTGTACCACCCCCACGTGTCCTGACCAGGAATCGAACCCTGACCTGGTTCATAGTCATAGGTCAACACTCAACCAATGAGCCACATTGAATTTCTTGATAAGATCAGACCCAGGGTCCGGCTGTCTCAGGAATTTTATCCCAGAATCTGCCTTTTTATCACCTGTGTGACCGCTTGTGTGAGTTTCTTTGTCCCAAATGTATTCCATTATTATTAACATTTAAGGAATGTAAGGAGCTGTTTTCACTGGCAACCGAGAGGTTATCTTCTCTGATGAAAGGTACTTTGGTTATTCAAGCTCAGTCCATTATAAACAGCGCTGTACAGTGTGGACAAATGTTCAATTCTTCGGTTTTCTGTACTTATTCTCAATGAGCTGGTAGCCTTTATTATAAATCTTTTTTTAAAATAATTTTTATTTGAGTATAGCTGCTATACAATCTTATATTGGCTATATCAGTTTCAGGTGTACAATATAGTGACAGCATTTTTATACCTTACAGTGTGATCACTCCACTTATTCTAGTAATCATCTGTCACCAGGTAAACATCACAATATTATTGACTAAGTTCTCCATCCCCTTTCCAACCATCCCCCACCTCCTCCCTTCTGGTAACCACCACTTTGGTCTCTGTTTCTATGGGTGTGATTTTGGGTTTTTTTGGTTGGTTGGTTTGGTTTTTAGATTCCACATATAAGTGAAACCATGGGGTACTTGTCTTTCTCTACCTGATATTTGATTTAGCATACTATCCTCTTGATCCATCCATGCTGTCACAAATGGCAAGATGTCATTCTCTTTTATTGCTGCGTTACATTCCATTGTATACATATACCTTCTCTTCTTTATCCATTTATCTTTCAATGGACACCTGGGTTGCTTCCAGACTTTGGCTATTGTAAATAATACTGCAATGAACATAGGGA